AACACCAACATAAAACCTAAGGGCTGATATGGTGTATCACGTCGACGTAGCACCTTGAACTCGGGTGGGATGGACGCTTGTCCCACATTGTTCGAGGTCATATGAGGCAGTGCCGCATAGCACAAAGTCGCTCTGGAAAGCTCAGAATGATGTCGTGCGGCGAGAATCCATGCAGGTCGATCGATGCTCACATAGGAGGTACAAGCTGTCGCCCGAGGAGTTGACCGCCATTAACCAATCACGTACAATTGACCATCGTTCGCATGTATAAAAGTCAACCCCTTGATCAACATCAAGAGAGGCACATCAGACATTCGACTCCTTTATCCACACACCACTAACTTAAACTTCGGAGGGGTTGGGTCGAGAAATCACCCTCCCGATCTCAGCCCGTGTGCAGAAGCCCAACAACAAATAAGTAGACCCCTTACCAAGAGCGAAGATCATGTTTAAGAGAAGATTCTCAAGCCTGATACGACCCGACGCTCACCTCCACTACTTGAGCACCGGCATGGATGACTTTGCGCATCTAGAACGGGACCAAACTGACACCTCAGTCACGACGTAAAGATTCACTAACAAAGGTGCTTTTGATATTATATTTTATATTTTTTTTATTATTAATAATCATGATTAATAATATGCAATCTAAACATATTGAATGGATGGGGTGATAAAAAGAACTTGAAGTATTGAAAAGTATGTATGTATAATATTAAATTCCCAAACAATTGATATGTCAAAGCCTCAAACGACGACACTAAACCGCGTTTCTCGTCTTCGCCGTGTTGAACAGCTGCAGTCTGAGACATCACTAGAATCATTTATAGTGAGTGGAACGGTACGCTAAACCGCGTCTCTCGTCTTCGCCGTGTTGAACAGCTAATTGGATAATCATAAATTTTGATCGACGAACTGAAAGACTTTAATTGGATAATCATAAATTTTAATTGATTATTATTATTATTATTATTATTATTATTATTATTATTATTATTATTATTGGAGCTGAATTTTTTGCTGGCACTCGAATTTAATTATAAGGAATTCCGTGGAGCATTGAGCAACAAAATGTTACTTCTTACAACAGGATTAAGAAACTACTTTGAGGTTTTTTTAATTATATATAATTATTATAATTAATAAAAAAATTAAAATTTTTAAGAGATAAAGATTTTTAGAAAGAAAAGTTTTCGTATAAAAAAAGCTTGAATAATTAGGATTTGATTCTTCTATAATATTTGATATTGATGAGAGAGCAAGATAAAATGAATACTTTTGATATTTTTAGATTTCTTTCTAAGGTATGTTTGGAGATGATACTTTTCTAAGGTAAGCTTGAATACTTTTTTATTTTCTGATATGTGTTTGAATGTTGATCTTTATTTTTTTATTAAAATTTCTCTTCTCTGTAATTGTATATAACTCTAACTCGTTTTTGTTGTTTCAACTAATTTTTTTTTTTAAGTAACAATGCAACATGAGATTTCTGTAGTCACTCTTAGTCAATAATTTTTGTACTTGGAGGCTATTCACATTTATTATGGGGGAAGAACTAAAAAGGATATTAGTGAGACTAACACCCTTCATTTCACAAACAAATATAATATTTTTTGGGCAAGTGGGGTTATCAAAATGAAACTTCCTTTTTTTAACTCTTGTTTGTGTGTCAACTAATTGATGGTATTTATATGTTTGAGTTACAGAGTCGATTGTTTAAAAATATTTAAAGATAAAATTACGATACATTTACCTTTGATGGCCTTTTGATAGGATCTATCACTAATTCTATTAATAAGCTAATTAATTTTTGTTGTATCAAATAATTTTTAATATGGTGACACATAAGTTACTTCATTTTTTATACTTATCGTTTTGTGTGCTTGTTGTTTAAACTAATTTTTTACTATATGTTTCAACTAAATTTTATTTATAAGTAGTCAGTAACCCTCGTATAAATGGTTAGATAAGCGAGTAAATCATTGGATAAAATAACATTCACTAGCAAAAGTATTCCTCAAATAAAAAAAATATTTTTTTAAAAAAGCTTATATTTTTAAATACTCTCGTAGAGATTGTATACAAAGACTCTTTTACCTCTATTTCCATGGCGTTGTTACTAAACCCATCGCTCTAACTTCCCTATGCCGCAAACCATGTGAGTCACACCCCCTTTTCTTTATTTCCCGCAATTGATTGCGAGAGAAGCTTACGAGCAACAATAAAAGCATGTCATTCCCCTTCCTCCGATGTGCTATTGACAATGAGGGTGCATGGATTGCCCGGCCCTCTCTCCTTCCTCACTTGTGATCAACGACATGAGGGGAGCCTATAGGTAATAGAGAATGCACGGTTGGTGGCATGGTTGGTGATGAGGGGGGCTTACAGCCACTCGCAAAAAGCACATGCACCCCCTTACAATCGATGGTGGGGATGCCCGGATTACCCCTTATCCTTCCTCACCTATGATCAACAACGAGAGAGGCTTGTAAGTGACGATGAAGATGCACGTATCCCATGCAATCGACGACAAGGGTGTGTGGGCCACCCTACCCCCCTATATTTCTTCACCTACGATTAATGATAAGGGAAATCAATGAATCTCTATGACGAGGGATGAGGGGACAGCAAGAGACGAATATGATTGCTGAGGTCTAGTGAGAATAAGGTCTTCACGCATGATCATACCCATGTTATGGGTGACGACGAGTGTTAAGAATCGATAAAGATAGAATACTCATTAAAAAAAGGTTTTATGAATTTTTTTTAAAGTTTAAATACTATTTAGGAAATTCTCATCTTCAAGAATTCCCTAAAAAAAAAAAAATCTCTCCCCGTTGTACGGACCCTTCCGCATTACCTGAGTCGTTTCTGCGTGGGGCCTCGCACGCGCGTATCTCCAATTCCAATACGGAGACCGGTAGCTGCGGAAAAAAGTCTGAAAAATGATAATATTGGCTAGTGGCAACTAACCTGATCCAGCGGATCACCGCACCGCTGCCCTCTCCTGCTGCCGTTCTCTTTAAAGTGGGTTCGTTCCCTCGGATGATCTTTGTCGAAGTTTCTAAGGTTTATTTGTGAGGTTGCTTTTTTATTGCATTGTTGTCTTGCCATATTAAACCTTATTTGATCAAGCACGATGCTTTTGTTGGGAGGACATGAAAATTGATAATAGCTGCCACAGCTCCTTAAATTGCGGATGGTTTATTTCCTTGAATAAATCCATTTATCTAGTGCTTTTCTTATTCCTTTGGAATTTCTGATGAAGGTAAATATAATATGCCAGCTTACACTAGATAATTTTTTTGTGATTTGCTGATGAATGGTGCCACATTAGTATTAGTAGGATTACCATTTTATTCTCCTCTGTAAGCACGTTGTCAGCGGTCCATCGATTGGAGTTGAATTATTTTGCTTGCATATACTCTCTCCGTTTCCACGTCGACGTGTGCATGCCCGTGCCTTTAATGGACTCCGATGTGATGGCACATGTCAGTTTCATGACGCGCTTAAACAAGTTTCGGCTATCGATAAACACCACGAGAAGAACACGGAGGAGCATCATGTAGCCGATGGTCGGCCTAGTGATCTCGAATTCTACGACAAGGTTGTTGTTCATAATGTAGCGGGCGTCGCCTCTGATGATCACATCAATGTACTCATGGTAGCTGCCAGGGACTCTATTAGCTCTTTCCCACGAGGACTTGCAGAACCTAGAAAGAATTAGACTTCGATTAGTATAAAAGATGATATTATGGGAGACATAAGTTTGCTTGCTTAACAAAATAACCAACAATGGATCCAAACAATGGACACAAGGCCTTGATCAACCTAATAATCTTTGTAATCCCAAAGAGACTCACCATTATCCAACCCTTTCTTTTGGAGCAAATTGATAACCCTTCTTTTAGAGCCCTTGGTAGATCCGACCACCTCAAAGGCCCCTTCCGTTGTTGCTCGAATCCGACCTGCCATCGAGTCACCCCTTTGACTTGGCCAGCACGACCTCGAGCGAGCGCCATCCCTTGCTTTCAAATCCTGCTCAATGTCATAGAAAAAGTCAACGAGGTCGGGTAGCTCAGCGACCGAGTTCCTTGACGGGCTTGCCTCTTGTCGAATCCCAAAGCTACACCCTGGCTATCTCGTCCAACGACGTTGTCACCCTTTTTGCACCTCCCCACAGCCCCCTCCTTCCTCATGCTTAACTCCCAAAAGAAAACTTCTGCTTCGCCTTTTCTTCGGTAGAGAGGGGGGAAAGATATCTATCGATGAGCTTTGAGGGGGGATGGATATGGTCGATGCTCACGTGGCAGCTGACATGGCTCTTGGCCCACAGCTCGTGGCTGGTAAGCTCTTTCGTGCCAACCATCGATTCGATGAACAACTATTAGATCTAATGACTGAGCTTGGTCTAGGCCATAGGTGCCACGTGTCAGCAACAGGAGGTTCACGTGTGCGAAGCGAACTATAACTAATTACGTGGGTTTTAGTAGACAGTGAGAATTAGTCCGAAAGCATTTAAAAAGATAATTTCGCAGTGAGAATCACATTGCAAAATTATCTTTTTAATCCTATTTTAGGATTATTATTATTTTTGCATGTGATAGCATATGATATTTTCATGGAAACAAATATTTTATTTTTATAATTATAGAAGGTAAAATATAATTAACTGCGATGCTAAACATAGCTGAAATGTTAAACATAATTAATTATAGAAGGTAATTAAATATGTTTATCAAAACATTAAAAAAAAAAACCGAGATGCTAAACATAACTAATTATAGATGGTAATATATAATTAACCCATTTTCAGAAGATAATAAAACCTTGACATTATATGGATATACCTTCAAATCTTAAATGTATCGACATCGATAGGCAATCGTGCTTTTCTTTTAAAAAATGCCTAAAGAAAAGATGTATCGTGATACTCAGTTCCATTCACAGAACTAACGGATCTCCTACCAAAGAGTGAGTTGTATCATCGTTACCTACAATGGGCAGACAAATGATAATACTTTTATTGAAGAGTATTTGAATATAACTCCCCATGTTCATGCCACAAACTATAAATATGATAATCAATGTACAGTCTTTTGGGTACAAAGCGATAGTATATATAATATAGCAAAACAAAGAAATTGCCATCATCTTGAATCCTTTCGTTTTTGATACTCCAACCCTGATCGTCTCTCTCGTCTGTGACACCGGAAACCATCCTTATGAACTTGTACTGCTGCAAAACAATAATAACTAGAAAATCCCGCAGAGAGGCAAATACAACATTCTCACATGTTGGCAATTGAACCATGAGATCGCTTTTCACTAGCATTGTCAATATCTTCAGAGTGCAAATCTTGGAATAAATCAGTCTCTCTGCATCAACAGAGGCAATTAAGCCATGTTTAATAAGTAGAACGAAAAATATAGGTTCTTAATGGGTATTGCACTCATTGGTACAAAGATAATACGTAATAATTTAGGGTTGTATATGATTACACTGCATAATATTCTGCTATGATGATAAAAAAAAAAAAAGCATCAGTGAAGACAGGAAGAAACCAAAGGTGAAATGCGAGCTACTGTGACAGCTCGAAGTACCAGTAAGACACAATGGCATGCATAAACCTTACCTTTTTATTTGTGAAGACCATAACAGATCAAACCCAACAGAATAAATACCATAGTGGAGGATAAACAGAATAAATACCATAGTGGTTGCATGACTTCTATCTAGACTAAAAGTTAGCACAAGTTATAAACAATATAGCATCATGTGTTTGCAATCAAAACATGAATTAAACTAACATTTCTAAAGGATACATTACAACAATACAAACATGAATTATATATTTGTGCAAGTAAAATTACCTAGTTGCACATATTCTGCTGTTTGAACATGGTATGTTGATGTCTTAAATTCTTATATGGACACTAATGGAAAATGAAATAAATCGCATAATGCTGAATTCTGTTATATCTGTTTTTATTGGCCACAAAATTTTTAGCAGTGCATGGTCAATTGTGATGATATTGACAAATGTTGTAACATCAACAGTCCGGTCCACCTGGATACTAGCTAAGTTTGACCATTTCTTACCATCAGTCTAGATATATGACCATTTAGAGTGTACAAACCAACATTTCTTCACCAACTACCCACCCTAGTTATACAATTCCTATCCATTTGTAATTAAACATGAGTCATAACACAACCTTTTAATGTGTAAATTCTTTTTCCGCAAAAGATATACATTTTATTAAACCTTTAACCTTCTACAGACGATCCATATGGATGAATTCAAGATCCGAAGGAAACTTCTCCTTCCAAAAGCAATCTGATTCAGAAACCCTAGCCCTAGTTGCAGGCCGATGATCTCCTTGATTACATTCCTCGAAGCAATGCTGGCAAAGTAAACTCATCAAACCCTTTAATTATCATGTATAATCTATCAATATTAGTTTTCTCCTCACTAAGTAATTTCCTCTTTTTGTCCTTGTCTCAAAGACGCTTTGAATCCAATTATCATCTCCAATCCACGCAGCATGTCTACGAATTTAATACACAATGTATGTTTATTATTCCAAGCAAATTTTACAGAACTAATGTAAGAGATCAACATGCATACATGATTTAAAGGGAAATATGCATCCAATAATGAGTTACTAAATAAATTTTAGGAAGAGATCCATTGTTCTTTCGCAGAAAAAGAGTCAAATACGTTGTACATCTTTTCTCTAATACTAAACAAATTATGATATGAGCAGACATCATGCACATTAAAAGTTGATTCCATCAAGGTTCCAAGTACTGGTTGGTCCTTGTGACTTCTTCTAATACTAATGTAAGAATTTCACAAACATTAACAATTGATTCCATCGAAGATCCAAATAGCAATCGGATAAATACCAATCCAACCAGGAACTGGTGCCAATACAGATTTTTTCTGCATATTTATCAATCTGACTAAAGACAGCTACCAATATGTAATAAGATGCTGGCCGATAGCTGTGTGGATCTTTAAAAATGCATGATGTATATGATAAAATGTAAATAAACAAGGTTTCTTAATGACAAACCCTTGTGCGTTTGGAACTAGGGGCCTCAGGTGGATCTCGACGACTTTGAGAATTACTCAAGTCATTCAAGTTCTCCCCCGCAACCTGTATATGCAAATCATTGAGATTAGTTCCACTAAGCATATGAACACATTTTGCCAGCAGGCAGAAGTGCAACAATAGGAAGATCTTTTTTACATGTGCTGTCGAAGAACCATGACTGGTTGGTGATCCATCTTGGCCTGCCGATGTCGCTTGAGATATGAATGGCATAAGATTCCGCACCAACCTAGAAAAGAATACTCCTTCATCCTCACCTACACCCGTATGCTCCTCAGGTTGGGAGTTCCTACCTATGTCTGTTTGATCTGTGACAGAACTTCTAGTCATTTCCTGATGACTACTGCTTCCAACCACAACTTGCTCTCCAGGGAAAATTGACTGCAGCCACTGATCCAATCTGCTCGCCAGCTGAGAAATATGGCCAAGCTCTTCGGTGTTACTTGTGCTATTACTGGAAGGTGGCCCCTGTTGGCCTGCACTAATGAAGTCCCTTAAAGACCCTGAAAAGTAAATTATTCAGATGTTATCATCCCTTCTAGTTTACTAACAGTGAATGGCAAACTCTGAACCCAAAACACACTCTAAGAATCTACTCAACATGGACTGTTTAATCTAGTCAAATTAATACAACAAGTAGAGTGCATGGCCCTTTTAGTGAGAACTACTTGTGCAAATAATAAAGATAATACATGATGCAATAAGATACTGAATATAACAGATTGTCGAATAACATTCTAGAAGGACTGTAATTACTGTAAAGGCTTTACCATCCAGCAATTACTGTATTCATTTTCGAATGGAGTGTATCCATCACTTTCATCTGCTTTTGCAAATGTAAAGTGTCTCAAAGCCAAGTTACGATATAAGTCATAATTTAGGCACCTCAATGTTTTGATTGTAATTCTAGTAGCTCTCCTCACATTCTTTAACATAAATAATGAGATTCATGAAGGCTCTCCCTCTCCACAGTTATTCAACTAAACAATGTGTACTATTACCCTATTTTGTTTTATCTTGTTCATTTTACCCACCTTGTCCTGCTCCCTTTTATTTTAACATTTCAGCTGATTTGTGCCAGAATGCAACACGATGCAAAATGCAAGTTGAATAGTGTCATTGATCTTCTAGCACTGAAACTTACTGGCCAAATTGTGACGTATACATATCATCTGCTAATTCAATAGCCATTGAAAACCTTCCCTAGCTCTCCATTTGCTATCTAGTCACTTCATGACTATAGTACACAAAGCTAGTGGCATATGATCCCATGAGACAAAAAGACTATTATAGCTTCCAAGAACATGTCTTTTAGAAGTCAACGAATTAGCTAAAATGTGTATTAAAAAATTCTCAGAAATATAGTGTTAGGAATTATCAGTTAAAATTTCAGCACCTAACAAATCAATACAGGAACAAGGAGAGAGAGAGAGAGAGAGAGAGAGAGAGAGAGAGGAGAGGGAGAACTAGTGCCACACTAACCTTGATACGAAGCTGATTCATTTACTGAGGGGTTAAACTCCGAAAATAAAGGAACGGCATTTGCAGGCGTGCTGTCGATATCATTAATAAAATTTCCAATGGTGGATTCTAGGTTTTGTGCATGCATAGTGGATCCAATATTTGCTTGCTCTTCAGCATTATGGCCATCGTGATTTATCTCATTAGATGATTCAGTGCCCCTAGCATCATCCAGACTCCCAGTAGCAACATGCTGAACCCTTGCTAGAAGAGGGTAGATTAGCCCAACTGCACTAGAACCAGATGGATCAGAGGTAGAGCGGTTGACTCCACCAGGTACTGCAACCACTGTTCTTATAGGCAACACTCTTACTCCAGACTCTTCAGAAAGAGATGCATTATTTGAAACCCCTGAAAATGCTTGAGGAGCAGCATTTGCAGCAGAAGAATTTCTTGTTGGATTTGTGGTTTCTTGCTGTTGTTGTCCACCCTGCTCAGTTTGGTTATGAGGGGAAACAGGTACTGGCCGACCTAGTGGCAGTAATGGTTTCATCATCTATGTGGTCAGAGGCATTTAAGAAACAAAAGCATAAAGCAGTAAGTGCTTAAAGATTGAGAAAAATCTAATATACCGGCACGGAAACGTATGCTGATATTTCCTGGAACCAATGAAGGACCAAGTGGTTCACCTTGTGAACCATGACCAGCATATGTAGCTCCCACACGCGGACTAAAACTTGATCCTGGATAGAAAGGAACAGGCTGCAACAACCAAGTTTAGTCATACAGAAATTAATTGAAAACAAATTGATAGAATGGAATTGTTCAACCTGAACCATCACAGGATTTGGACCAGATGCAGAGATGAAAACCGCTGGTCCAGCATTAATTACAGCTTCAGACTGCATATGACAAACTTCATTAAACAACAAGCACATTTGGAATATTTGGAAAGAAAGCTGCTTATGAAACCTACTGGTGTTTGACCCAAGCGCAATGTCATTGTTGTGCGACCCAGCTCTAGAAGTAAGGACCCTAAATTTTGCAACAGAACTCCTGATCTGAACACACTGTTTTGAAGTCTTAAACGCACAAGAGGATCAGTCAAATTTACTTGATCCTCTAGACCTCTTGCAAATTGCTGTATCAAACAAGAAGATAACATCAACTATCACAAAGATACAAAAAGAGAATTACTGTATGAATAAGAAAATCAGTTTTTCCTAATTACAAAATGCTTAGGATCAAATATTAAACCATAGATTCTGAATGTAAGTCCCAAGAGCTTAACACAGAATACTAGAAACAGCCTTCTACTTGCCTATAAAAATTTATCAAGACATGCCGAGAATATAGAGAGAAGTAACAGAACACCAAGTGCAAGTCAGCTTGAATCATTAAGATATCCAAAACCTTGACAATGTTTGCAGCAAATAAAAAAGTCAAAATCATACAATGATCTGATGCCTGATTTTCTTATACCTTCATTGTCTCATCAATGACTATCTGAAAATTACTGTCCAACACACTCAATATACAGCCTAATCAGAGCTTTTCAACAAAATGATATTTGATCGAATAAAAAATTAGTGGGTAGTAATAGTGAAATGCCCAACATCAAGCCAATTTACTTGATCCTCAATACCTTTGACTACTATACAATGTTGTAAAAAGTAATTAGTAACCACCAAATCATAACACAGTTGGAACTAAAACTACAACAATTCAAGCAGTGACATAGTCCTGGACATATCACTTGAATCCTTCACTTAGACAGCTCATCCAAATAGTTGCCCTTAAAATTGCTGCTCAAGGCTGCCAAGGTTAGCTAGAGACTTTCACACATAACTTGTAATTTTATGTAAATCGATCCTTTTAAGCATCCAACAGTAACCATTTGTTTTATATATCTCTATCCTAGCTACTTGTGTATAAGAAAAACCTTTAACTCCAAATCCCCAAGAACATTTACTGCACCACCACATGTTCAAATTAAAAAAATGTACTTGCGATCAAGGTTCACAAAACTGGTCGGACCAAAGTTTGAAAGCACAACTATGCTACAAACAGAATGCAAGAATTTCGTAGAAACTTATGCATAATTTCTTTCTTTGTCAAAATTCAACTTGATAAGAACCACAGAAAATGAACACATACAGATATGTAACCATCAGCCTGTTCCATTAGTAGTTGTCTTGTAGAAAGCAGTACTTCTACCAAAGATGCTGGACTAGGTAGACCACCCGGACTAAAAGACTGGTGAAACTGAAGGCTATCATTGTTCATGTAAGCAGCGCTTGCTTCATTTCTGTGTTCCCCACCTACCAAAGAATATGGGTTTAGTTATCTGAAAAGCTAAAAGCTTACAAGAAAGTGAACCTGGTTAGTTTGTGAAGAATTGTACCATTAGCACTTAAGCCTTCCCTTGTAAACTCATCCCTCATGAAGCCCAAATACTGATGTATAGTGGTCAAAGAATCAGGTATTACCTGCAGAAATGTGAACTTATAAGAAAGTATATACAGAAAGGGATAGCCGATCAAGCATAGTAAGTTTGGATTTTTAAGTCTGTGCAGTCAATAAAATGTAAATAGCTTGTTTACAATCAGAAAACAAATTTACAATACACCTTCAGCAAACTTACTGTTGGCTGCTCAGACACCAATGGAACTGCAGAGTGAAATTGGTTAGGAACCTGCCCTGAACCAAGCTCAATACCCGGATAATCAACAGATGCTCCTGCGCTCAAATTCTGCCCAGCAATATGTTAGTCGTTGATAGTGGAATATCAAAATCAACAAATTTTTCTTAATGATAAAATGCAAGCAAGGAGTAAGATTTACCCTAAGATTGGGGCCTGAGGTCTGGGATCCGGTATTTCTTGTCGCAACAGCATTTAAGATGCTGGATATAATCTGCTCAAGAAAATAGCATGTTTAACCATGATAAAGTGAAAGTAATTCAAGCTCCTGCTGAAGCAGAGGGAAAACAAATAGCTACTACTGGCAACATTACCTGAGAAAGTTGAGTACGATGATCACCTTGACCAATATTAACAGTCTCAAATACTAAGGTACGAGTTGATTGACTACCATGATTACGAGAAGCATCTGATGAAAAAAATCACTTTGTTACATTTCTCTTCTCAAATCCTGATTCTCTAATGTAGATAAGTCCTGAGGTGTTTTGAAATGCTAATGGAGAAACCAACAACAGAAGAGAAACATATACTAATTACATATAAGATTATTGCCACGGCTACAATACAAGAGATCAAGCACTGAATGATCTCCATTTAATATGTCAATATGTTCCTAGTGTGAATTGCATCTTCTAACAAGCTTATTATACCATAACTCCATCAATTAGTATAAGAAAGAAATATATTTTGCAACTTGAACTTCTAGCATCATTAAGGCATCTGATCTTCAAGAAGAAGCATAAAAAAGTTCAAACAGTTCTTACTCTATTAGACAAACTGCATAATGAGCAGCCGATTTCAAGATGGGATGTTAGGCTCAGTATAAAAAATGAAGAGGTTCAAAAAGAACACCGAATTAAAAGTACTGGTATCGATAGTAAAACCGTGTTTGAACTTAAAAGATCAAACCTGACTGGCCTGATGCACCTTCATGTCCCATCTGACCTGTTGATGGTGATGGCGTGGACTGATGTGGTTGTCTAACAACCAGATGCAAGGTGTGACCATCTTCAACATCTTAATCATCCTTTTTTAAGGAACCCGATTCAGAAGTTATTTAATTCAAGAGACCATCAGAAGAACAAGATAAGATATAATATGTTCTTGTGTTCTTTTCAAACCATCCTCTACTCTAAAGAATAGATCCAATAAAAAAGGCCTGTAAGTGCCCTCATGCAGAAGGTTTATAACAAAAATTTTAAAAATAAGTACAAGTGTCAAAAAAGTATCAAAGATTAGGCAGCTTAATAATGTAAGTTCTACAATATATATCATGATATTTGCAACACAGTTTAGCCTCATCAACGTTTTACATAGAATATCTACTTCTGCAAAAAGTTATACACCTAAGACTTGTTGTGCTGTGCAGAAGTTACATTCAGGAATCACATGTTCTACAATCATAAAGAATAAATTTATCATTTTTTGGGTCAAGAAAGCACAAATAATGCTTTGAAGTAGCAGAACAAAGTCTCTCCATCAAGGGTTCTGATAAGTGAAAAGGTTCAAACTGCCACATGTAGTCAACACATTTCAATTAAAGAATTTTACCGGACAGCAAAAACTTAAAAAAAATATCTAATAAATCCAATTCAAGCAAAGATTGCATTGACCACTTGACATGGCAGGATACCATGTCAGCGTTTAGCTGGATGGCATGTGCTGGTAATGCCATGAATGTGCCAGTAACATGCCCACATCTGAAGATAGGCAAGATACTGCCGCGCACCTGTGCCCACTGTCCACACCAGTGCTAGTACCCACTGCTAGCTACATTCCCAACAACAGAAATCCTTGAATAGACAAAAGATTTGATCAAAATACTAGGACTACTCAAAATATAAGCATATCAGCTATAAAATTTTCAGTAGAGAACAATCAAAATTTCAACCAGTTGTAATTATTATTTTTAAATTGCATTTTGCTTATAAACACACATAACTAAGGCAATATTAACCAATATTGAGCTATAAACAACTTAACAACAAAACTAAAAACCTGGCATTTGCATGACTAAGATGTTAAATTATGCTCCCCTTAATCCACCTTACATTTCCCAAATATCCATTTTGGTGTCACTAAGTGAGAAAGGATAGAGATCTGCCAACGGAAGAAAAAAATCAATAAATAAAAACGAAAGACACAATGGAATTGATGATAAGATGATATGAGAAAACAAAATAGCCTACAACAGTTATTAGCATGGTAACATAAGAAAACAAAATCACCAGCGTATTTCAATTCTCAAGATAGGCCATGATAGTGATAGAGAATAAGATGTTAATAAAATTAACTAACCTTCTCTATGCATATGATGGATTCTATGGAAAAGCTTAAAAACAAAATATGTGCACAAGATGCAGTACACCTAAACATCATCACATCTTATGAATCAAGAAGCAAGCATGAATAATTGGCAAGGAAAGTAAGTTATGTGATAAAAACAATACAACGTTCTGGAAGGAATCATGTCTGTGCGTCCAGACAAGCATATCCAAAACTGATTTCAGTAAGAAAAAATGGAAGAGAACATCAACATATTACCAAGTTAAGCATTAGTACCCAAAGTAGAAGATACCCTAAAAATTTCAAGCAAGATTTTAGAACACGGTCTCATATTAATACTGCACCCTGGGTGGACCAATATGGTACAGGTACAATCAGGCATACCATGTGTTGGTTCACTCCCATGCCGACCAGTATGGGTCTGGCTGGAGGAGGAAGACACAGAGCAAGAGGAGGAAGAGGAAGAGGGGCAGAACAAGAGGAGGAGGAAAATGATATGGTGGCAGTGATGCAACGGAAGAGCAGACAGCGGTGAATTGGTAGGAGGAGGTGGTGGCGGGTAACACAGCAAGGGGAAGGTGAAAAAGGAGAAAAAGAAAGAGATACAACCATAAAAAACCAGTTGTCTGACAGCCATCATTTAAAAAAATAAAAAAGAAATACAAATACCAAGCAGTAGGCTTAGCGCCTCGTACTATTTGGAACCAAGTTGTTTACCATCCAGTATGCCTGATGTAGTTTGCTCACCAGGCGGTGTAGTTTGCTCACCAGGCCGTACAACCCCTATCGGACTGGTTGGGTCCAGTTCGTGTCCTGGAATGGATCAGTATTTTGAACCTTGATTTCAAGAATGTGCTTGAAGTGCATGTTTGAGAAGTTAAAAGTATACCATCTAGAGATGACACCAATTAAATGGGACTGTAAGTTTGTAATGCAGTTTTTCTGCCCTTGCCTCACACACAAAAAAAAAGAAAAGAATGGTTATTCACTTATTCTCCAATCACATTTAGTAATCTAATTAGATGACAAACAACATCATCAAAACAACCAAAAAAAGGATACGATATGCAGAAAGGATTTCATCATCCTTCAAGACTTTTCCACGGCAGATTAGGCGCTGTTGTTCTGATATTACCCCAGTGACAGTAGCTATTTGTTCCTTCAATTTTGGAATTGGCACCTGCCAAGCGAATATATTAATATAGTGAAACATGAACATGATGCAAACTTCAGAATAATGAGACTAGAAGTTGCAAGATCTTGAATGTTCATAATGAATGACAGCACAACAGCACTTTGATGAGACTAAGATAGAACAGGTAAATTAGATGTGTTAAATATGCCTGATTAATTGTAATGCCGGTCTGGTTTGAGAATTTTAAAGTGCTTCTCTAGATGATATTACTATCACACTTGAGAACCATTTTGGACAAAACAGATAATGGTTTTAAACAAAAAAGGCAAAATTTTGCAAATATAGATGACACAATATACAAATATTTCTATTGTCATCTTATTGATGATTTATTGTTGCAACATATGTAATGGTTTGGATGGGAAACAATAATTGTATTATAGTAATTGCATTTAAAAGCATCTTATAGTTTGTTCCCCGCTTTCTCTGTAATAGTAAGTCACCAAGAAATTCTTGCTGAACTTTCAATTCATCATTAGCAGTTTTTGCAATAGATTCAGCTCACCTTCCATATCTTGCCAGGTGAGTGAGAGTTGAGAGATTTCTGAAAGAATGCTTCCATCTTATTCAAGTATATTGTGAATAGGAAAGTACTTGAAATTTCCAACCAAAACTGTCAGATTTTTCTGTTTATATGAGAAACTTGTTTATACAGATTGGCTAATCTAGGATAAGGAAACACTAGTTGATTCATTGTAGACTGTAAAAAAGACCTGTGTTTGAGTATTTAACTTTTGGCAAGCCATATATTTATGGTAAACAATATAGATGAATCAGTTAAATCCAAAGTCTCCAATGTACAGTCAACTCCAGGTATCCTTGTTTGACTCAAGAATATGCATTTCCAATTTAATTGTAGAAAAAAATAAGAGTAGCAACCCTTATTTAGATTTGTTAGATGAAATAGTTCACATGTTTTGACTCAAAATAAAGTACATAGCAAAATGAAAAAGTTTCGACTCAATGGGAAAAACTTATTCAGTTTTATGCTTCTGACATAATGTTTCCTCACCTAACTGTGTTGCATACATTAAATACGTCTGAGCAGGTAAAAGCTTAACCAGCAAAAATTATGGAAGAATGTAATGACAAAGCATGTAGAGGCAACTTTCTACAAACTTCTGCAAAGTCATGAAATGATTATGCTATTATAACATTAACAACTTCATACATGTACCTTTTAAGGAAACTACATATATGCGCCTGTTTCAGAACAACTTGTGAAAGGGCATCCATGTGTATTTCAATGCTTTAAAAGACATACATGAAACTTCTGACTTTGCATGAAAGACACAGAATCTCTTCTATGGTTTGTAGAACATTCAAGATTATTGTTGACGGCACTGGTGTATACTGACAATACCATGCTGAGTCGCTACAAGCCATACCAGTTGACATGCCACCTGTGCCACACCCAGCATGAAGTTGGCCTTGCTGGCTTGGTATGTTCCACACATGCCAAGCCAACATGACTATAAATGCAATCCTTGGCAAGATCAACCAAACTAGGGCCAACATTGAGCTAGGCAAACTTGGCTAGATAGAACCTGACCCATTTGGAGTCCGACTTAGTTGGGATTAGGACTTATAAGGCACTATGAAGAAAATGGATAATTTGGTATACCTTTAACCAGATTTGACAAACATTTGATCGTGTGATACCCCATGGTTGTTGGGGATTGTTTATAAAGCTTGATGGGACAATCACTGATAATTTTGGTTTAAGCATTTTAGACCACAGTCTAAGTTCATTATACAAGGGCAGTGGTCCTACCAAGCTAGATCATAACAGGTGGTCAGTGGTCTAAAGTGGGTCTAGTACTTTGCATACACCAATAAGTTGGGTTAGTAGGAAAGGCTTACCTGTGAAACTAAATGAAACCACCACCAGTGCCACACTCATCACAACCACTCCCCCCCCCCCTCNCTCT